ACTGTGACTCAAATTCAGGAATTTGTGAGTCATTCTCAATTTAGCAGCCTGCACAACCGTGGAAGGTAAATATTTGGAGCAAGTGTTGGCACATGTACACGTTTAGCAACCGGCGTGAGAATTTGATTCATCAGGTTCTGCAGAGCCGCACAGGTAAATAGCAACCGGTCTGTGCCAGACTCAAACAGCCAGAGAAAAACAAGCTCAGGTGATAAGAAATTCCCACGCCTTCCATTCACCCTGATAAAGAGCAAACAGGGCTTCCCATATCCGAACTGGTAAAAAAAAAAAAAAAAACCTGTTGGGCCGGCACAAGGTGATTAAGCTACTTCCTTTTTTTGCAGAGATGCAAATATACCAGTCAAACAAAAACGTAACACACAGCGGCAGCAGGTGGCGAAAACTAATCATGTCAACATGGTTCAGGAAATAATAGGACTAATCCTACGCCAATATGTGCACTCAATTCACATCAACATTGAACCATAAAACAAAAGTACTTACCGTTTGTCACAAATGTGAAGAAGGTTTCAGACAACGAACCACTGAAAGACATGGAAAAACAAAGATATCAGTGAGCACTGAGCGTTTTAGACACAAAAGATCATTATTACAGTGATTAATTAAGGCCCTGTCATGTGAAAGTAACGCCTTCAGGGGCCAAGAGGGAGATTCCCATTGTCAATCCAGTTGTGTTGCCAAATTCAGAGGACCTCCCTCACTGCATCCCGCATCTCCCCCTTTGACAGGAGAACTGGGGTACAGCTGGGCCGGTGAAAAGAGCAGTGTGTTGGTAATTAGAGAGGAACAGGCTGGGAAATTGCATCTCTGTCAGCCATTACTTAAAAACCTGTCATTATCACAGGCTTCCTGGATGTGATTACTTTTTCATTACTTTTATGGCAGTCGAGCAAACCGTTCAGAGTTCAGGGTACAAAGTGGTTTACGACAGCGTGAACGAACCGAAATAGGATATAGCAATTGATGTGCCAACAACAACAACAACAAAAAATGTCTGAAGCCTGGGAATACAAGCAATAAACTGCTGGTGACAGAAATATAATCTAATAAAATCAACGGAAAAATGAATCAAGTGCTGATCAGAGTCGCCAGACTGAAATAACCATTTAAGTGCATGCAATAAAACAAGCCTGAGATCAAAACCCAAGCAATGTAATTACAGGAACTGATATTGATTGTCGTTATGCAGTTAAAGTGGTTAAAGCAAACCCTGAGGACTGTTCATCAACATAATCTCCTTAGAGTGGAGATGATGGATTTAGTTTGACGAATCAATTGGTTTGTAAAATAAATGGCTAATCCACCAGTGCAACTTCACCAGCTTCATATGCATTAATATTTTTAAGTGCTTGCTAAGACAAGCAACACTATTACTATTTATCATAGTTTGGTTTCTCAAAAGAATAAAATGAAATATATAAAAGTGATAATTAATAAATGTGTAAATACATTTTTTTTATATCACCCCACATAGGGATGGGCGATATCTTATCGTTTGCGATATACCGGTAAGCAATCGCAATATCTGTCAAAAAAATCGCAATTTGATATTTTCCCCCAAATCGCACAGCCCTAATAGCAATGCACTAAAATCTATTCAGAACACCCAGTAACTGCATAGCAACTCAGTGTCATCTGCATAGAAATGAAATTTTAGACCAAGAGATCTTAAAAGTTTACCAAGTGTGAAAATGTAGATATTAAAAAGCAAGGGGCCCAAAATTGATCCTTGAGGGACTCCAGATTTCACAACACCAACCTCTGACCTAAATCCACCCATTGTAACATACTGCTTACGGTCTGTGAGGTAGGACCTAAACCACTTTAGTACAGTATCAGAGACCCCAAAAACAGTTTCTAAACGAGTAATTAAAAGAGAATGATCTACAGTGTCAAAAGCGGCACTGAGATCAAGAAGGACCAGAATTTAAAGACAGCCATAATCTGAGGCAATTAGCAGATCATTTGTGACCTTAACCAATGCTGTTTCAACACTATGGAATTTACGGAAGCCAGACTGCAAAGGCTCAAATAGATTGTTTTCAGTTAAATGAGAAATTAACTGAGTAGCAACAACTCACACCAAAATTTTGGCAAGAAATGGGAGATTGGAAATGGGACGAAAATTGTTTAGGTTTTCATAATCAATGTTTGTCTTTTTTGGTACAGGGGTAACAGCAGCTATTTTAAAGGCTGCTGGCACAACACCAGTACACAACGAATCATTTATAATACTCAAGACAACAGGACACAAAGAACCAAAACACGATTGAAACGAACTAGTGGGTATGGGATCAAGTAAGGAAGTGGCTGCTTTCAACTGAGAAACCTCCTTTTGAAGGGAATATGAGTCAAGTGTGCAAAAATTTGAAAAAGTAATACCATTATAGAAAGGAGTATTTACAGAAGAAGAGCACAATAGGGTAGAGGTACAGACACAGTTTCGTACATTATCAATCTTAGTGCCAAAAAAATCAAGAAACTTATTACAAAGATCGGTTGAAGCAATAACAGGCGAAAGACTATTACAATTCAACAATTTGTTAATGGAATTAAACAATTGTCTCGGTTTGTTTTGATTATTGTGTATTATCTTAGAAAAATAATCAGATCTGGCAGAAACAATTCCAGCCTTGTGATGCAAGGAGGCGAGGCACAGAAATGTAGCATCTCACAACAAATTTGTTAGTCTAAAAATTTCTCGTTGTTTCTCCTTCTACTATTCCTATTAATAAATGGTGGAAAAAAAGACAAAAAATTAACTTAATCTGCATTTGTTCTGTTAGGCTTCACCAGGTTTTAAACGGATCAAAGAACCTCTGGCTCTAGAGAGCTGCCTGTTGTCCTCCTAATAAATCACTCCTCAATGGACACTTCAAACACTCCTCAGAGACTATAACGAGAGGCAATCTTGATTTCTTTCTCAACCTGCCCCCCAATTCCCAGATGACAAATCTGTGAAACCGCAACAGTCCAGACAGAGTGTCCGTGACATTAAGTAGTACCTGAATCATCCATCACGCAAAAGAAGGCAGGAATCACCACTTAATAATAACTGCTGTACTGCTGGAGAACCTACCAAGGTCACATTCAGCCACAGCTGTTAGATGAAGTGCCGGAATAAGACATGTTGTGACTTATCAGGGGAACTTGTAAAACAGACTATTTCAGTTTTTCAAACTGTAATCTGGAGAAAAAAAAACGTTTTTCCTGGCAAACTTACAGTAAACACTCATGTTGACAGTCGATGAGGCAACAGTTGCATATTTGCCCCATAGACTCCAACTGTAAATGTGTAAACATCAACATTTCATTCCTTTTTATGTACCAGGAAAGCCCACACGCTGATGTCTGACTCACCTAAGAATATAAAAGCATTCTGTATCACAGATAAAAGGCTTCAAGCTTCTGTCATAGAGAAAGACCACAGAAACCACTGCAGTAACTCACTCTTTTGACTGGATGCCGTTGGCTCTGACCGCAGGGTAGTGACTGAGCCCTCGGCGCTCCTCAACTGTGATTGGTCCTCCAAACTGGTCCGTGATGACCCCAGCATGCACCGCTGATTTACACAAAACTGATGTCTGAAATAGAAAGTAGACAGCACTCAGTCACAATAATGAAGGGACAGACAGAGAGAGGACAGATTGGCCTGTAAGACATAACATGTGTGTTTTTACTCATACACAATCTTAAGAGTTTTGTTTAGTTTTTTGGTGTCACCTTTTATGTATATTTAAAACATAAACATACATAAAACATACCTTTTATTTTGTTGATTTTTTTTTACTTGGACTGATATGGCGATTAAATTAAGCTGACATACAAGTATAAAAATCATATATAATTATATATTACATATAATTAAATATATCACATATATGTGTACAATTATACACACTGCAGGTCAAAAGATCAAAAATTATGATTTTTTTTTGTAATTGTTGTTGAAAGAAGTCTCTTATATGCACCAAGGCTGCATTTATTTAGTTAAAAAAAACAGTAATATTGTGAAATATTTGTAATATATGTTTGAAATATTATTGCAATTTAAAAATGTAAAAACACTTTTCTGTTTTAATTATTTTAAAATGTAATTTGTTCCTGTTATTAATTTATTATGTATAATAAATATAAATAAGTATACACATAAATATGAGAGCACCTGGAGTTTTGGTTTGGTGCTCACACTGTGACCCATTAAATATATTTTATAAAAAAAAACATTTTTATAT